GGGAGCGGGACGCAGACCCTCCGCGCTGCCCAGCCGCTGGCCGTGCGACTCCCGCCTCTCGCTGTCCACCTTGCTCCAGGGCGTGGATTCCTTGGTCCTTGAAAGTGTGATGTTCGCCATCCTTGCGGAGCGGTCCCTGGGGCCCCAGCTCTACGGAGTCTTTCCAGAGGGCCGGCTGGAGCAGTACATCCCAGTACGAGGCACCTCCTTCCCCAGCCCCCAGTCCCTTCCCGGTGTCTGCCCTCAGGTCCCTGGCCGTGGGACCCTGACCTCCCCCACCGCCCCATCCCTACCCCCTCCTGCCCCAGCCCCCTCACCACCCTGAGAGGTTCCTGGGTGCAGAGTCTGCCACTGAAAACGCGAGACCTTCGAGAGCCCATGCTGTCAGCAGCCATCGCCACGAAGATGGCCCGGTTCCATGGCATGGAGATGCCCTTCACCAAGGAGCCCCACTGGCTGTTTGGGACCATGGAGCGGTGAGTCAGAGGCCTCTGCAGGGCTCCTGCACACCTGGCTGGACCCTCAGGCTGAGCTCTGACAAAGTGTCCGTGACTCTGTCCAGCTGGCCACTTAGTGGATCCGGTGTCCCAGGGCCTCGCATGGTCTCTCACAGAACAGCCTTCCAAACATTTGCCAGAGAAGCCATGCAGTGACAGAGAAATGGCTGGGACAGCGTGGCCCAGAGAGCCGGTGGAGAGGGACAGTGGAGTGAGTGTATCCTGTTCTTTGGACTTCAGGTACTTAAAGCAGATCCTGGACCTGCCCCCCACTGGCCTCCCCCAGATGAACCTGCTGGAGATGTATAGCCTGAAGGATGAGATGGGCAAGCTCAGGTGAGGGCAGGCAGGACAGGAGCGGGAGGGGGCAGAGAGCACGGGAGGTGCTGCCGGGAACCTGCAGTGTCCTCCCCAGGCTTTGCCTGAGGGGCCACGCAGGGGGCTCTGACCTTCCTCTAGTCACTCCTACTCAGACACATGCCCCTGTACCCTGCAGGAAGTTGCTCGACTCTACCCCATCACCAGTAGTGTTCTGCCACAACGATATCCAGGAAGGTAGGAAACGTCATCTGAGTCTTCCAACTCAAGGTGCAGGGGCCCGAGGGCCCTGGAGTGACCAGTACCCCACTACATCCCCCAGGGAATATCTTGTTGCTCTCAGAGCCAGAAAATGCCGACAGCATCATGTTGATCGACTTTGAGTACAGCAGCTACAACTACAGGTGAGACCCATGGCCTCCTGTGGGTCTGTCCTCACAGAGCCCTGGGTCTCATGCCAGGCCTCCATCTCTGCCGCCCAGCAGATTTGGGGACTGAGTGTCCACCTTATTCCCCCAGGGGCTTTGACATTGGGAACCATTTTTGTGAGTGGGTTTATGATTATACGCACGAGGAGTGGCCTTTCTACAAAGCACGGCCTGCAGACTACCCCACGCAGGGACAGCAGGTATGCGGCTGGAGGCTGTGGAGTAGAACTTGGCCTGTGAACAGGAAGGTGAAGCCTCGATGGAGTGGTGAGAAAGGGGGTTAACTAGGAAGTGCTCCATGCTCCCCACTTCCTGACTCTGGTCTGTTGATCTTAGCTCCACTTTATTCGCCATTATCTGGCAGAGGCAAAGAAAGGCGAGCTCGTCTCCCCAGAGGAGCAGAGGAAACTGGAAGAAGATTTGCTGGTAGAGGTTAACCGGTGAGGAAAGGTGGCTGGGCGGGGTAGAGCAGGGTGCCGAAGGCCTGTGGCCTCGGAAGTGGTAGACGGTGCCGGTGCCAGTGCCAAGTGGGGGTTGGGGAGCAAGGCTGATGGGAGGAGTTGGGACGGTAGGGGTTAGGACAGTGGGGGAGAAGTTGGGGCTCTGGGATTCAGGCGATGCCAAAAGTGCTCCCAATCCCTCTGCTTTCCCCGCCTCCCTCAGATATGCTCTGGCATCCCACTTCTTTTGGGGTCTCTGGTCCATCCTCCAGGCATCCATGTCCACCATAGAGTTCGGTTACTTGGTGAGTAACCCAGGTGGCCAGTTAGGTGGGGGCAGAGGAGTTGCAGAGGCTCTGGCCCTGCCTCAGGGCAGCCCTGGGAGGCTGTGGGCAGATGGGGGCTGTGGGAACTCCTCCCAGGCCTGCTCACCGGTGTGTGGGGTGGTCTCCTCCCCAGGAGTACGCCCAGTCTCGGTTCCAGTTGTACTTCCAGCAGAAGGGGCAGCTGACCAGCCTCCAACCCCCATCCTGACTCTCCACCCCACAGCTGCTTGGAGTTCCCAGAGCCTCCCCTGCAGGACCTTGGGGGGGAGGGGCAAAGAGCAGGAGGCCCTGGGGACCCCCGAGCCTCCAGTGAGATGGGCAAGGAGGGTGATCTCTTCCCCAAGTTTGAGCAGGTCCCCAGGAGCGGGAACCCCTGGACTGTGTACCTTGAAACAATAAACGAGCTTCTTCCTTCACACCCTGTTATAGCCCTGCTCAGTCCAGCAAAAAGTACCAACAAGGATGCACACAGAGTGACCACTGCTCTGAGCCTCAGTGTCCCCTCCTGAAAAGCATGGCTGTTCTGTGCTCTGGGCTTGAAAGTGGTTCCGGGTCCGTTCTGCCGATTGGAGGCCCCTCCCTTTTCCCTCGCCCCGGGTCCAGCTTAGAAGTGATAAATCCTCGGAGGAACTGGGCCAGAGACCGGAGTAATGGTGCAAAGAGCGCCCTGGGTGGGGCTGCTCAGCCCTGCGCCCTGGAGATCAGGGCACAGGCCGCACGGCTGACACGGGTGACCTTTCCCCTACATTCGACTATTTTTAGCTCCAATGCCACCCGCTCACGTGAGACCCAGAGCCCCGCCCCCACCCTCCGCCGGGTCCCCAGACCTTTGAGCAATCTTCACCTTGCGGAAAGCTGCCCTCCCACTCCCGATTTCCGCCATGGAGGGGAGGGTTCTGGTTGCCGCCCCGCATCTGTTTTCTCAACCCAAATTTGGGAGAGGGTGTCAGGTTCCGGGGAGGGCGGGGCGGGGTGGCCGGCCTGAAGGACGCGGGGACACGGGCCAGAGCGACCGGCCCCACACGCAGGCAGCAGTGAGCCCGAGCTGTGAGTGGAGTGGGGGGCAAC